CAGGTGCCTCAGCAGACAACAAGGGGTATGCTGGACTAGAGGTACTAACAGAGCCATGCCTGAGTCTCATCCCAACCAACAAACATACAGAGAGAAGCCCTTTTTCAGGGCCAGAACACTGGGACAGATCATGTAACTAGAGTTTCTGTGGGTCTGAGGGAAAAAGAGAAAAATAGTCACTATAAATGAGTGTTTTTTATTTTTTTTTTTTTTATTTTTTTTTTTTAATCCTCACCCGAGGATATTTTTCCATTTTTTGTACAGATAGAGTGGGAGCGAGAGAGAGAGAGAGAGAGAGAGAAACATCGACGTGAAGGGACACATCGAGTGGCTGCCACCCGCACGACCAACCAGGGCCGGGGACAAACTGCAACCGAAGTACGTGCCCTTAGCGGGAACCGAACCCGGGTCTCTCCAGACCGCAGGCCGACGCTCTAACCGCTGAGCCAAACCAGCCAGGGCTAAATGAGTGTTTTTTAAAGTTGTGTTTTTAATTTAAAGATCTTTCACTCTGAAATTATGACCTTATGGGATTTGAGGGTTGTAAATTGTCTTCTTCGTGAAATCCAAAAGCTTGGGAACTATTAATATAGATTAGAAGTGCCCTTAGGCCACAGCACTGAGTGACTCTCTTTGACATTTGAACAAAGAGTTGACAATATTTTTGTGTAGACATGAAATGAATTAAAATTTCTTATAAAATGTTAGAGTTCGGTATATTATGTTTAAAGAGAACGTAGACAGTAGGTATTCCTATGCAAGGCATTTGAAAGTATTTGTAGATGCTTGTTGCCCTGGTGAATTTAGGATTTTATTCCATTTTATTTCATTTGTCTGAGTCGTTGATCTTTAACGTGGCAGGTATTGTCTCTGCAGACAAGAACAACTGCAATTCACAAAGTTGAGTTTCCAGCACTGAAACACAGAGTTGTATGGTGACAGGTAAGGGAACCCGACATTATGTAGAACCATACACTGGCTTGGCTGGAGACTTTCAGGAGCTCGGGCTATGTCAGGAAATGACATTTGCCCACTTGGTCTTTTTTATTTTTTATTTTTAAAAATAAAAACTATACACTTAAGGTATATAACATGATGATGTGATATACATATACATAGTGAAATGATTTATTAGCACAGTCAAACTAATTAACAGATCTTACACAGATGCCATTTGTGTGTGTGTATAGGGGGGAGGGGTGGTGAGAAAACCTGAAATCGATTCTCTGAGCAAATTTCTAGTGTTCAATCCAATGTTATTAAGTAAAGTCATCACTCTGGACCATCGTGTCTCTAGACTTATGCAACCCACATAACTGCAGCTTTGTGCTCTTCGCCCAACATCTCCCCATTTCCTCACCTCCCTTGCCACTGCTGGGCACTGTCCTACTCTTTGCTTCTATGTGCTCAACTTTTTAAAAATTCTGCATATATGTGAAATCTTGGAGAATTTTCCTTTCTGTGTCTGGCTTATTTCACTTGGAACAACAGCCTTCAGGCTCACGCTTGCCCACTCAGCCCTTACAGTCCTAGAGCCTGAGGTGAAAGTGTCTCCCAGGGGCTGCCTCTGCTCACTTTTCACCTCTCCTATGAGGCTGGCTTAGTATGTAGCTTGGTCTTCGGGCTGGGAGTAGATTTCACTTGGACTAGTTGCCAAAAGAAGCTCTCTCTGACCTTCTTTCTTGAAGAGAAATTGTTATTTTACAATTATACAAGTAATAAAAATATATATAGTACTTAACATTGTTTCTGTATGCTAGTGGACAGGATTAAAAAATCAGCTTCTTTACAGTAAACAAATACTTAACATCACTAACTTTATCTTCTTAAATTAAACTGGCTTACAAAGCAGAAACCAGTTTTACTCATTTGCAGTGTAACAGCAGTGAGTAGGCAACTTGTGCCACGGCCCTACTTCCAAATTCTAAGACAATGGAGCCGGCTATCAAGAGGCCTGAAGTGGCTTCATCTATAACTAGGCTGCTGTTTTCAGGGATGACATTCCAGTTTAGTTAAGGTGTTTTTCTGGAGAGATTTACAAAAATCTCAGTTTTTGAACTGATTCCAAGTAAGGCTAGCGCAGGAGGTGAGGAGGAAGTGGACACGGAGGGACACAAAGGTTACCCTACCACACCTTCTCCCAAGACCCGAGCTCAAGACAACAGCCCTTTCTATTTACTGACCCCAGGTTTGTTTGTCTTCCTTACTTAAAGAGTCTTGTGCCCTGGCCGGTTTGGCTCAGCAGTTAGAGTGTCGGTCTGCGGTCCAGAGAGACCCAGGTTCGGTTCCCACTATGGGCACGTACCTCAGCTGCAGTTTGCCCACGGCCCTGGTTGGGTCGTGTGGGTGGCAACCACTCGATGTGTCCTTTCACATTGATGTTTCTCTCTCTCTCTCTCCCTCCCACTCTATCTGAACAAAAAATGGAAAAAAGTGTCCTCAGGTGAGGATAAAAAAAAAAAAAAGAGTCTTGCAGAATGGACAAGGACTAAAAAAAGTGAAAGAAGAGAGGATGGAGTTTCATCCTAAGTGTTGGGAAACACTGGACTCTTATCTTGCCAAACCACATAAATTCTCTACAAGAGGGGGTCACACATTTAGTGAGTTCTCACAAGGATGTCTGGCATAGTCTTCTATAGTTTCCTTTTTTGTTATTGTTTTAGGGAAGAGCTCTGAGCAGAGATAATTTCAAAGCTCCATCAACTATGACCTAATAATTTTTATCTCTGGGATAGTATGTTCTATAAAAATACAGTTCATTTCTTTATATAATACCATTTGCTTTTCAAGGTGTTTTCTTCTTGGTCATCATCACTGCTTCTCAAAATAGTTCAGAACGTAGATAGAATATGAATTATCATCCCTAATTCACAATTATGAAACAGGCAGAAAAAGGCCAAATGGCTTTCCCAAGACTGTAAGTGTTAGCAAAGCACCTGGTACATGCTTGATCCTTAATTACTGATTTAAACTTTAAATGACTAAGCCAGAATCATTATAAAAACTCAGTTCTCCTAATTTATCTTCATTCCTTTTGTAAGGTATTTTGAATATGAAAATCATTCATAGAACAAAAGAAAAATACAGTTCATGTATTTCACATGATTTGGGGATAAGAAGGTAACAACAATAGCTGTGATTTACCAAACTTCTTTAAAGTGCCAACAACTGTGCATTTTTTTACATATGTCACTTCCCAATCATGTTTGCAAGGTGGGTATTATATTTTATAGATGATAAAATTGAATCTCAAGATATTAAATAACTTGCCCAAGACTACACTTAGGTAGGTACTAAGCTGGGTTTGAATTTTGGTACGTCATAATACAAAACTCTCTAAGCTGCTTCATGCCTAAGGTATAATCAAGGGAGCTGAGTTTTCCAAGTGATATTCATTTGTAAAATTTTATAACATTTAAAAAAATTTTATGAAGGCTATTAGCAAAGAAATAAATGGCAGTTTTGATTAAATTAAGATGCTTTTGGATCGGGAGGAGGGTGTCTAGGGGGGGAAAAGGACAAACATCTGTAACAAAACTAAATAATTTTTAAAAAGATGCTTTTAACTACTGCCTATTTCAATCAAATGAAAAATGCATAGAATATATTCTAATTTTTGAAGAGGACACCTAATCCAGTCTTAGAATACTTAAAAAAGTAAACTTAAATAAATTGTGTTATATTTGTCACTTAGAATGAGACACAAAGAATGTCTAATTTATAAACTAATGAACAGGGACGCTTGTAGTTTGGGACAGGTCCTACTTTTCACATTGGCTGTGTGGGAAGGAAAAGGTACTAACAGCTCATTTATTAACCTTACTACTGACATAGTGCTGGAAGCTGTCTCTGTATCCATTTGGACACATAAATAGCACAAAAAAGTATCAGCATGAAATACATACAATTTCTCTAGAGAAAGTTGAAACCCTTGGAAGAGACAATTAAGGATGCAGATACACTATAAAGAAGAACTATGAAAAGTAATGTGGCCAGAAAACACCTGGGTGTAGATTAAAAAATCCACCTTTAAACAGAATGGTGGTATTATGATAACACCACCATGGGATTATACAGCCTAGTTCTAGTTTTCAGAACTTCAAATATTAAGTCTCTGGTCCTTACAGTGCACCATGAGTGCTGGCAGACGTTACCCACCATAGCTATGGTGAGAGGTCAGCTGAACAAGTGTGTGTATATTTTATAAACAAAAGCCGGGAGAAAATCAGAAAGGTCAACCAGTTCATTCATATAAATATGTGATTTGACTAAACAATTGCTATAGTATGAAATGTCTGATGTCAACTGCTTATAATATCAGAAAGGTAAATATAAATAAAATCTTCAGCTGTTTATCTATAATAGGAATAAAAGAAATAATGGGCTGACAGATTTTTCTTTTTTTTTTTTAGTGGGAACATGGTTCAATGAATCCTTGTAAGTTTTCAGGTTCAATAGCCCTTAAAAAGTGTAACAAGAAGCTTTCTTAACCGGAGGCTGGACCATGACCAGCACTGGGTTTCTTCTAGCTCTAGAGCCTGGCAAAAAAACTACTTCAGATTTTACTTCTTCTCCCCCTACTGGCAGCAGTGAGCCAATCTATTTAAGAATGGCACATACTACTGATCACCTTTCAAGGAAGGAGGAGACCCAGTGTACAGTTAAGTTTCTTCCTTGTAATTAAGCAGCATCAATGCTAAATAACTGGTGGAAAAATTAAATACGGGGAAATAATAATCTCTTAATAGATCATGACCTTGTTCAGCCAAAGTTCCCCGTGTATACTTCTCTAGAAAGCCAAAAAAGGAAAGAGGGCTTTCAAGACATTTGTTCTTCAAAAGGGTTTTCTCTTATTTCAAATATGTCTAGTTTTTTCTATTCCCTCTCAGTGTTCTGCGTCTAGAAAGGGAGTGTGAGGGTGGGAGGTGATATAAGTTGGTGGGGGCTCCAGATATAAAGGCTCACGCTCATTCATCTCAGCACTGAAAACCCAGTCTCACCTCTCTCATCCATTCTCGGATCGTTTTGCCAGCTTCTTGATGCCACACATTGTGAACAGAGTCTGTCAACGCCACAGCAGTTACCTTATTTTTTACATCTGCTTCTCGTTGAATCATCTGTTTCAAAAAAATAAAATAAAATATTGGCTATAATTTTTTTCTGCTGGGTGTAGCCTGCTTAGTCATAGATAATGGTAATAATATATTAAAAAGAAAAAAGCAATATGCATTCTTGCTCAAAGCTACTCTTTTATGCACTGAACACATGCCCTATTCTTGTCCAGAGATGTGAAAAAATGTAATATTTTCTTTTAAAAAGATAATTCCAGTTAAGTTTTAGAACTACGCAGCTCTATTATTTTCCATATGGTTTGACAATTCAAGGATTAAAGAGATCATGGGGGAAAAGGAGGAGTCCACGAGGGTTTCTTTTACCAGTTTCTTCTATCACTTCCTATTTCAATGCTTCAGGGAAGTAGTACCTATAGTTCACTGTTAGCTACTTAGGACTAACTCGTATTAATTTTCAGTAGATGGCACATAAGTAAAGAAAGATCTTGCTTTGACTTCTATTGAACCAGCCTGCTCTTCGGGATGGCCCTGTAAATTCCTTGGTGTTTTAAAGGCCCACAAAGATCTTTCTCTTCAAAGCCTATCAATATAAATTTGCTCTACAATGTATTTTTTATGTTGACAAATTATTCACTTTAACTTCTTTCTGTAGAATGTTATTACTAGAAAGTTAAATGGTTTTAAAATTTGAAAAAGAGCCACTTGAAGAAACTGAAGAATTCATCAGTGGTCTATAAGATAAGGAAACGGAAAAATAACAGTTCTAAAAGAATCATAAAAGGTTTTATATCTACTGACACTAGTGACCCTAATTTGACACAACAAATGTAAGAAAGCTTAATAAAAAGTTACAGTTAAAATACATAAATAGTAGCTTTGAATTTCATAGCATACTCTATTTCCTTGCATCAAATATTTTTTCTCCCTGTAAAAGAAGCGATTTCTCTATCATTTATTGTTAATTTCTATGAATTGCATATCAAAAATATAGTACCATGTTAAAAAAGGGAGAATTCTGAATGGTGATGAAAGCTCATACGAAGAACATTGTAAGCTGTGCTTCTGATGCCAAATGATGCCTGTTGGCATTCTGAATTAAAAATGTCTCTCTTGCTTTTAAATTCCTTCAAACCCTGCACATGCACATCCCCTCCCACTGAACTCTCATAGGGATCTAATCCATGTTAATGCTGCCTCAGCAGCATTTCCACACCTTGAATCTGTGTTCCCAGTTGTTTTCTGCTTATATAATGTGGAAATCTTAAAATCAATGTTGGTTATCAACATATAATATTACTACAAAAACTGACCTTGCAATATCAGTAATATTTAAAAGCATTAAATAATACTCTAATTCAATTCTTCACATTCATTATTAAGTAGTTTGCTACCTTCTTCTAGATTTTATTTTTAAAATAGACTCTCATTGGATCATGTTGGCACTAGAATATAAAAATTTAAACCAACATTAGAGAATAAAAGGGAAATTTCACAGCAGTGACTCCACCTGGCTCATGAAGAACTTATACGTCCTTACTCTCACTTTCTAAACAGTAACGCTTTTGGAGATCTAGACTGATTGTTGCTGAAGTTACAAAAAACAAAAACAAAAAACATGCTCTTCTGGTATTCTAAGAATATGTCTGCCTTTAAAAATAACTACCCTGGATTTTGTTGTGGTTGTTGGTAACATATGCAACTTATTTAAGGTAGTGGTGTCTGAAGACACTAAATATTGAGGACCGTCTGTGAAATAATATAAAATTAAATGTTGAATATACCGAGGATTTAGTAGCAAAAGTAGAAAATCTGGGGATTAATGTTCTACTAACCTGGAAAAATATTCAGTTGTTACATGGACTAACAGAGAAGAAAAACTTTGGTCTGTTTGTCTATCTGGCTGACATTTCATACTCAGAAGTGATGATGTGCAACTTTTCTTTACATAACATCAGATCATATAATCCAGCATGAAAATCCCGTACACTGTTCTAGCCCTTCACAGCTTAAAAGTTAGCTATATATTATATTATTAGAGGTGAGGAATGGTTAAATTAAAGAGGATATCAATGAAGAGCTATTTACAAATGAACCCAGTAACAAAGAAATTCAAGTATTTGACTGTTTAGGGTTAAAACTGTAAATCAGTGAAAATCTCAATAGTTTAGTTTTTCAGGCTATTTACCCGTCCCAGCCTTGCTGCAGCCTCATCTGGTAGTGCTAGAACTACCTGCAATGCCATTTCTGTCCAAAGACTTCTTACATTTGTGAGCCTGCCTTCCCTGCTTCCCTCCCTTACTACCTCCATTGGGAATGAGCACTGATGAAAAGTGTAGAGAATTGTAATAATGGGGGTAGACTGAACACAGGAATCAAGGTTGTTTAAGAGACAGACTTCAGATGGAATATAGCTAAAATGAGGAATGGATGGAGACTCAGGAGGGCAGAAAAACAACTCCTATAATGGTCTATAATAGAAAGCCATAATAGTCTGGAAAAACCAGAAATCTGAAAGGGAGAAAGCCTTATCACCAAAGTCTTACTAAATGTAGATCATATAAACATCTTTGAAATTCCTTGCAAAATTCTGTTTGTATATGATACAAAAATTTTTCTGGGATAAAATCTTTAGCTTTCATTAGGTTTTCAAAGGGATTTTAGTCTCTAAGAAGGATAAAGGACCATGTGATCTCAATGTTTCCATGTATTCTTGAATGAATTATGAAATACCTGCTAAATGACTCCTTTAAACAATTATAATTAAGATGAATTTAACATCTATACCAATATTTCAAAGTGAAAGGACATTCCATATTTGTTTTAATATTTTCAATATGGGATCAAGAGTTGGATAAATGTGACAAATAATTTTGATACCCCAGACAACAACATCCTAAAGTCCCATAGTTTAATAGGCGATGTGTAAGGTAAGGTTACAGTTAAAATATTGCTTGCTTTTATTTGTATGTGTATAGTTTTATATCTGAGTTGCTCTTTACAAATTTCAAAATGAATACATATTCATTCTCATTTTATTCTGAAATAATATTGAAATGTATGCAAAACTCCATTTGCAGAAGAGAAAATTCAGGCTGGGAAACTGGTTGAGGGTCACACAGATACAAAGTGACACTTGACCATGACTTTAGCCTGTGTTCTTTCCTCTGTATCATATGTATCTATTTCCCAGTAACATACCATAATACTCATATAAATGAACTCATTCGGTTAATTCCTTTTTCATGTGTGGTGCATTTCATTGACTTGGACATTTTCTTTAAATGGTAAAAAAGAAAATCTAAATCCAGATCAGTAAGGAATGTTGAAATTATAAAAAGCATGCCAAGATAGAAATCAATCATGATCAAAAACAGACTGTCAACAGCATTTAAAAATTATTATTATAGTTCTAAAATAAATGATGTCTAGGATAAGAGGGAAAATTATGTATTTCTGTAAATCACATTGATGATTTGAGAATACAAAATATTTTATGTTGTCACCTGATATTTTTGTTTCCCCTCAATTCTATTTATTTATTTATTCATAATATTCTCACCTTAGCTTGCACACAATCTCTTTCCTTCATTGTATTGCATGTTCCAAGTCTGACAAAAACTTAACCAGCCCAATAAATATCAAGTTCTTCAAACAGGTTAAAAACATACACCATCCATATGTAGGCTCATCTTGTTATTAAAATTTTTGAAATTGAGAAGAAATAAAAAACCTATTATTATTTTTTCTTTCAAGTAAGAGTAATATTTTAAACATTATGTAACTGTAACAAAATAGGAAAAGTTAGGGATTATTTGTTAAGAGTATTTTCGAGATGAAGACCAGAGGACGAGAGGGGAGCTGCTACTATCTTTGCTTCCCTCCATGTGCCTTATAGCCATCCCACAGCACTGCTATCATCTCTCCCCAGAAATCATGGAGACCTTTTCTGTCCACCTAACTTACTATGTTTTCTCTAAGGCCCTCAAATGATGTACCTGCCTACTGTCTCCACAAGTACCTGGCCAAATCCAAATACTTCACGTCACTCTAATAGTTCCTTAATTCTTTTTTTTATACCTACAGGCTGTTGTAACTTTTCCCTCGGATTCATTTCTTCCAGAACTCTACCATGAGCTACTTTTAGCAAAGGAAACGCATGGAATTTTTACTTCTACTAAATTAAATGTACAAGTTGCTATCCATTTGTCTTAGCTTAGAAGATAAACTTTGAAGGCAGGGAGATGGTGCTGTTTTAGGAAATTCTGCAATGAACTATTTGGAAGTAATTTCACATATCTAGCTGAGGGCTTTGGGTTTTGGACATTATGAATCCAACCTACTACTAAAGTCAATACTCCCAACCTAAAGAAGAACTGAACCCTAAACTGGGTTATCTTTGACCTAACCTAAGAGAAGAAATGGATAATTTCATTTTCTCATATTCATGTCCCAGCAGCCATGGCTCTTAGAATAAATAGGTCTTATATTTTCAAGTCCAAGGGGACCTTCTGAAAGAGGCCAGTGTGGGTTGGGGGTAGGAATGTATATATGTGCATGCAAGCCCAGATTTTTATTTGCATATATAATACGTTTTAAATATGTTTTTAAGGGAAATGCTTTAAAGTCTTTCATCAGCAAAAGCCAATACCTTTTAAAAAAATTCTGACATGTGTTACACATATGCACTGGGAAGGTTACAGCATGTGAATCACTTGTACAGGAAAGAATATTCTGAGAGAAAATCAAATAATGCATGTTTCCTTTAGATTAGGATCTGACACTAGTGTACATTTATAAATCTGAGGATCATTACTACTGCATGAGCATGAATGAATCATGGCTCCAGTTAACAGCACAGTTGAGGTTCTTAAAAAATATATGTATATAAATAGATTAGCTCTCTCTAGAGCTCCTTGAGTTAAGATTTCAGATGAAGTTGTTTCAAAGGTTGGAAAAGTCTGAGAAGCTGGCATCTTTTCACATTCTTGTTATGAAGATTATAATTACACTCAGTGATTCTACTTGAACGTAGTCTTTATGTGGTT